GGACTGAAATCAATGTAAGAGAATGTTATCATTCTGAAGGCAGAGCAGTGTACAACAACTGGACAGAATACAAAACACAGAAGCAAAGTTCACATTCTGAAAACTGTCTCCAAGGTGTATACATAGACAGGTGATGTATCTGTGCTTGTGAAAAGCACGTTACATTTGAGCTGCCGTGTGTGTGTAAATCCCTGCTAACGTCAATGCAATATAAATTAAATGTGTTTTCTTGCATGGCAATGAGCCGTGAACGCCATGTAGAAAGGAGCATTTGTTCGGTGAAAACCTGATGCGATGAATCATTTAACAGAAGATTTCATTGACAGCTGCGCGGACTTTAAAGAACATTACGGATAACAGTGTGGAAATACAGTGGAAAACACAGACAGCTGTTCCCATTAACAGCTGCCATAGTCAACAATTATCTGCATTTGTCCTTCTCTTTCTCAAAAATGAATAATGAATTCAATAAAGACTGTCCTCCATTGCATTGGAAGCATTTTCTTATTAAAACCAAAGGGGCAGAGGCGAGCTTCATGCTCAAATTAATTGTATCCCTCGGCGTCAATGACAAATGGAAAGAATACACAATGTGAAAAACTAGTGTAACTGCTGGAGGAGAAAAAAAAAACAACCTGCCTAAATTCATATTGTAAATCTGCAGCTTGTTAAGACTCAGAGGACAGCTGTGGTAACGTCACAAGCTTTGTCAGTGTTTGTGTGCATCTGGCTGTTTGTCACTGCACTGTTACACCCAGAGGACATCCAGGGACAACGGTAAAGTTATGAAAAACCATCAGGACTGCGGCTCCAGGTGAAGCTGTGTGCATGATATATACAGTAAAGAAAGAAATATGTCAACTGGATGAAAGCAAAGTCTGTCCTAGTTCTCTGGCATTGATTAGACGGGTCAAGGTTAGGGGACTGTGGTCTGTGTTGCCGTAACAACCCTGCATCGCTTGCTGGCTGCCATGGCAATGCATCAAAAATAGAGTAGTGGAAAATAATCGTTCGTTGCCGAGTGGGTGGGTTTGTAGAAAGAAAAGGGAGGCAGACAGTCTTCATAATGAGATTAGTTATCAAATCCTCACAGGTGGAGGGGACGAAGGGCAGGACATTCCAGGACACAGCTTGTTGGTAGGAGCGGAGCAACAGGGGGTAGGACCCAAACGCAGACGACAGAGGCAGTGCAGATGGAGTTCAGTGACTTGTTGGCAACATATAACACCTACAGGGATGGTTACAGGTATTAGATAAGCAGAAAACTGAGGCTTAATGATCTGGTAGGGAACAAAGGAAGAGAACTATATGTAGTGAGATTATGGAATGAGGAGATTGGTGGGAGAGCTCAGGTGACTGTGGGGCTTATGAGAGGTGGGAACAGGTGTGTGGATGGGTGGGGGCAGACAGGAAGATATCTGCTGGACGGCTAGAGGATGGCAGGTCTCGGGGGGACAATGCACAGGGGATATTTACGAAGAATGTGGCCCTTTTTGGGCACTAAAAAGTCAAATTACTAAAGGACTGATCCAAGGTTTTGGTGAAATGGAAGAAAGGGAGGCAGCCGTGAGACAGTCTTAACAGTAGCACCTATTATTTTAATTATCAATTATTCTGCTGATTAACTCAAATAAAAAAAATGCTAACTTGACTATCTATCCAGACAAAGAAAAGCAGCACATCCTCAGAACTGAGAGGGGCATTTTATAGACTGAAAAGGACAATCAGTTGAGCATCATACTAGTTGCTAATTATTTATTAGTTTATTGACCAATTAATTGAGTGTGAAGGGACAGTTAAATTGTGATAGAAATACATTCTATACAGCAATAAAAGGTGTGTGTAGTTTTATAAAATATCTCCACATTGATTTTTTACATCTTATTCAATCACTGACCTTTTTTGTTAAGCTGATGACATTAAGCTGTTTAAAGTAATATTTTCTCACATTCTCCTCGTGGGATGAGTACACAGCTGTAGTTCAAAGATTTTCCTTTAACCAATATTCCGAGTTCAGCAGCAGAAAAATCGCTTTCTGTTGTGCTGCATTACTTTCCAGTCAGCACACATCAAAACAGCCGAGCATCAGATCTTAATGAGTCAGAAATCTGATTAACTTCCCTTACATCTATAGTCTTAATAAATACCTTGATACATTGCAACCTGCCGGCAATTTGTAGCAGCCTTCGTGTAGCAAGTGTAATTAGCTAATTAATTTAAAGTTAAACTTATAAACCAGGAATGCATAGAAGATAGCAATCCCCCGCAGACAATCATCTCGTACAGAGATGAAAACACAGCCGCTACCAGATCTGAGAGCAGTTTGTTTGGATGGTCTGTCTCTCTGCTTGGTATTCTACCCCAACTCTTTCAGTCTGTATCCTGTCAGTCTGCTTCAACATTTCCAATTCCGCATTGTGACATTTTGAAATGTATTCAGTACCAATCAACAGACACACAAACAGGACCGAGCAGAAGTTTGCTCCATGTTTGCCCTTGTCCCTCGTGATGGACAGCGTGAAAGACAAACTGAGCAAGAAGAGAGTAAGGATAAAAAGAATAATGAAAAAGAACAGGTGCAATTGAAACAGCAGTAAAGAAAAAAAAGGTTGCTAGAGACAAGTAAGAAAGGAACAGTTTGAGGTGAGCCGGGTTACACCGAGGGGAGCGAAGAGGAAATAAGAATTAAAAAGAGGGGAAGACGATCGGAGTGGAAAAGGAGACGAGGATTAAAGATGTCAATGTGGTCAATGAGGCTAATGACAGTGAATGACATTCTGTCTGTCTCTTTTATCTCTTTCTCTCTCTCTCCACAGGTTTTCCATGGGAACAGGTAGCAAGACGTGCCGGTCAGATCCCTGAACGATACACCAACGCGCACAAACACTGACATTTAATCATGAAATAAAAAACTGGGAGCAGTGGTTTGTCCCCTAAGGGTCCAGCTTACACAGAAACACACACACATATCAAAAACTAGTTGCTATTGCAGCAGAAATACAACACTTAGATCATTACAGGTAAATTAAGCAGGTGTTTATAGGGCATCAGATGAATATGGGCAGGGCAGACAGCTGGCATAAAGTGGGCACTGTTGGGGTCTTACCCTCGGATTACCGTTTGGCAGATTAGAGCTGAGCAGCAGTCACCTCAAGCTCACCAGCCTCATGAAACGTACGCCGCCAGCCAATAGGGCGTGCACAAACAAACACACACAGCTGCACAGCTGTAGAACACAATTAAATTAGTTCATCTGGCAGACAGTGTGCAACCCTAGCTTAACACCATACACACATTAAATCACAGGCACAAAGAGGTGCACACACACACACACATGCTCTGGGCTGCAGGACAGACGCTGCCCCCACCCTTCCTCCCATCGTCCTCTCAAAGCCAGCTGGAGAGAAGATGAGATTTGGGGCTGATTGGTTTTGTCTTTTTTTCCATCGCACCCTCTGTGCAACACTCCATCGACCACTTTCGGCTCTCCTTGGTGCAGCTTCGGATGAACCATCGTCCTAAAAACGGAAGGACTTCGGACAATCCGCTTGCGATGCTTTGATTACTTCTACCCAAAGTCATTCTTACTTTTATCTCTGTGTTTTTTAATCTCTATGGGTGCAGAGTGGAGCAATCAAAGGACGTCTTGATGAGTTGTTGGACTTCTGTGGGAATTGTTGGCAGAACTGAACTGAATGCTGCACTCTCACTGGAGCAGCGTCACAACTTTGTTCAAAAATCTCATTAAGATTTCATCAAACGCCACAAAGAATTTAAGCTTTTTATTCCTAACTTTTTAAACTTTGTGTCAGAGGAAAGTGTGGAGAGGGACGGTAACAGAGGAGTGCTTTAAACTTGACAGAAGTGCTATTCACAGAGTGGCTCTGAGAGCCTCGGTGAAATAGGCAGACACAGACAATGGACTGAAAGGGGTGAAAGGAATGGAGAGACCTTGAGATGGAGAGAGGGAAGATGAGCCTTGAGTGAAAGGCAAAAATAGGAGTAAAATAACGGAAGAGCGAATACTGAAAAAAGGCTTATAACAGAGGAATGAAGCAGTAAAGGGGAAAAGAGGAACAAAATAGGTATTCTTTTGGTCTAGGATGGCTAGAGACGTGATGGAACACCCTTCAGGCCAGACCTCCTCCCTTCTACCGCTCCTCCTCCCTCTCCTCCTCCTCCCTTCTTCCCTCCCTCTCTCCGCTGCACTCAACTAGTCTGCCAGCTTTCCTTGGCTACGTCGCTTCAGTGCAACGGGAGAGACAGAGAAAAAGAGAGAAAGCGGAGCGCTGGAGCCGAGCTCAACATTCACACAGATGGCAGAGAAAACGAGAAGGACCTGCTGCGTCCATCCACAGCGTGCACTGGATTTCACTGAAGATGGACACTGCAGTTAATCCAAACAAAAAAGAGGGGGAAAAGAGATAGAGGTGGACGTAAAGACAGTGGCAGCCAGAGAAGGGAAAGTTAGAAAGTGAAGGAGGGAATGAACAAAGGATAGAAAGGAGCAGAGACTGTGATCGGAGCTGAAGGAGAGATCACCTCTCACTGAAAGCAAAGGACTTCCGAAGCAGTCAGGATACAGCTGTGTGTAATTCAGCTGCGACTCCAGAGTGTGTGTGTGTGTGGAGACATTTTTGTGTGTGAGACGAGCACATAGCTGTGAAGGAGAGAGAGAGAGAGAGAGAGAGAGAGAGAGAGAATCCAGCGGGAGACGGAGGGAAAGCGTAGGAGCATCGCTGAGTGCACAGCTTGACTGTGAGACAAATTGACTCTGACACATTGTCTTCCATCAGTGTCTGTGTGTGTGTGTGTGTGTGTGTGTGTGTGTGTGTGTGCGTGTGTTTATACTAATCTGATATAGTGTGTGATCTTGTGCTAGTCGGGGGGGTTGTCCCAGTCACGCTGACCAGGCCTTGGTGGTCTTTGCGTGGAGGCGGCAGCAGCGGAGGAGCTGGTGGTGGTGGGCTGGGGACAGTGGCAGGCCTAGGGGTGGGGGCATGGCCATGGGGGGGCCGCATCCCGTCCTCCACCCTGCACCGGGACAGGCGGTGGGGCTGGGGGTCCTGGGGCGGGGGTCCATCCAGGGGAGCT